AGCTTAATGCAATACTAATTCATATTAAAGATAATTCAAATATTAAAGATTGTTTGACCTTAATTTAAATATTAAAGATAGTTTGACCTTAATTCAAATATTAAAGTCGTTTGACCTTAATTAAAATATTAAAGCTGTTTGATCATAATCCAAATATTAAAGTTAGTTTGATTTCAATTCAAATAATAAGATAGTTTGACTCTGTGAATTAATAAAATCCAGCGAATTGCTCAAAATATGAAAAATAAATCCAAGTGAAAGTTAATACTCCAGTGATTCATCTCACTTATATATAACTGTAGTGAATAATGTCATAAAAAATTGGGTTTGTTGAATTCTGAATCAGTATAACTTATTTTTACCTTAAAAAACACTTTTTTTAATTTATGTAAGTGCAGAAGTTACTAATTGAGCGAAGGATGTATGAACTTGAGTAAATTGTCTCAGTATATAAAGACAATACAGGTTGTTGATTAGACTGTACATGATTCCTTATACAAGATATTATACATTGTAGTGGTGTTTATAAAGTTATATTCATACTCAGAACAAATATGGGGGCCTGCCACCCAAACTTGCAACATCGATTCTGTTTTAGCGAATTGTTGGACTAAAAAAAGACAATAACAACAACAACAACAAACGCTCTTTATAGGGTTAAAAGATTTTTTGGTTGAAATGACATTACTTCCCAAAAAATTAGATTTTGTTTGAAATCTTGCCCTTGTTTAGATTTTTTTCTGAAAGAGTTGACAAATAATTTTTGGATAAAAGTAATCCATTTAGGCATCTCATCACGTATACCTCTTCTATGTGAGTACTCCCCCTCAAACCAACCCCTGAGGTTACACTCGTATATATGTACACACATTATTTTTGTTCAAACTCAAAAGATAGTTAAATAGTTTATTTAATTTGTAACTACTAAACTGAATACTGTGGAATACTTTATTTTCACTGGAATTAATTTTCGCTGAAAAGGCTTTTTGGGCGTTTTGCTTGGAATTTATTTTCACTGATTTTTCATGAGTTTAATGTGGAATATAGGAAAAAAAGTATATTCGCTGGATTTTATTTTCACGGAATCATCCCTTCAGCGAAAATAGCGAAAATAAATTCCAAGCGAAAATAAAGTATTCTACAGTATATTTAATATATATTATATTATAAACTGTATCAACCTACAAGGGTCTGGTATTATTACTGTCACAATTGAACCGATTACAATAAATATATTATAAACTGTATTACTCTATTAGTGTCTGGTTTACCATAATATAAATTGTATTAACCAAATAGGACCTAATGAAGGTTAATATATTACAAACTATATTAACCACGAGTGGTCTGATATAATTACACAGATTAATACATACATGCTGTACAATCTACATAAAGGATAATATAAATGAGTACATATAATTTTAATATAAATAAATAAATATTTTTTTTTTTTGACTGCTTTGAATGAAAAAAATATTCTCCGAGATTATTTCGAACTGACATGCTGCTTCATGATATTCACAACTTTTACATTCTGAGTTTTTTTATTGTAACAATACGTTCAATGAGTACTTCTTCATATTCTACCTTAGCTGTGAAGCTTTTTTTTGCTTTCCTCCTCAAATGTGACTTTTTTCTGAATTCTGTTTCTGTTTCTTCTCTGTCTCAATTTCTACCCCAGAGTTTCTATTGGTTCATATTATTCAGGTTGAAGGATGGTCACGATTTGAACAAGAATCTACTGAAAATTTGAAAAGTTATTCCAATTTTGAAAGATCAAAGAAGAGAAAAAAAATTAGTATTTGAAATATAAAAGTCATTTGTATGTATTTTCAATTACAAAATGGCAAGGTATTTTTTCAGCGTTGTTTTTAATTTGCAAATAATGTAGACTATTAATTCTGTAATGAGAAGGACATGAGCCTTTAATGCTATTGAGAAATAACATGACCTTTAATGCTACTGAGAAATGACATGACCTTTAATGCTACTAAGAAATGACATGACCTTTAATGCTATAAAGAAATGACATGACCTTTAATGCTACTGAGAAATGACATGACCTTTAATGCTACTGAGAAATGACATGACCTTTAATGCTACTAAGAAATGACATGACCTTTAATGCTATAAAGAAATGACATGACCTTTAATGCTATAAAGAAATGACATGACCTTTAATGCTATAAAGAAATGACATGACCTTTAATGCTATAAAGAAATGACATGGCCTTTAATGCTACTGAGAAATGACATGACCCTTAATGCTATAAATAAATGACATGACCTTTAATGCTACTAAGAAATGACATGGCCTTTAATGCTACTGAGAAATAACATGACCTTTAATGCTACTGAGAAATAACATGACCTTTAATGCTACTGAGAAATGACATTGGCCCTTGATGCTACTGAGAAATGACATGGCCTTTAATGCTACTGAGAAATGACATGACCTTTAATGCTACTGAGAAATAACATGACCTTTAATGCTACTGAGAAATGATATTGGCCCTTAATGCTACTGAGAAATGACATGGTCTTTAATGCTATTGAGAAATGATATGAACCTCGATACTAATGTGAAATGACATGGGCCTTTAAAGCTATTGTGAAATGACATTGGCTTTAATGGTACATTGTACTGAGAAATTAAATGGACCTTTAATGCTATGGAGAAATGACATGGGCCTTTAATGCTAATGAGAAATGATATGACGTTTAATGCTACTGAGAAATGGCATGGACTTTTAACGTTACTGAAAAATGACATGGGCTTTGACGCTATGGAGAATTGATATGGGCTTTAATGCCATTGAAAAATGGCATGGCCTTTAATGCTACTGAAAAATGACATTGACATTTAATGCTAATGATAAATGACATGGGGCTTTAATGCTATAAAGAAATGACATGGCTTTTAATGCTATTTGGAAATTATATGACGTTTATTGCTACTGAGAAATGACATGGGCTTTAACGCTACGAAGAATTGATATGGACTTTAATGCCATTGAGAAATGAACTGGCCTTTAATGGTACTGAGAAATGACATGACTTTAATGCTATTTAGGAATGGTACCTTTAATGGTACTGAGAAATGACATGGACGTTTAACGCTTCTGAGAAATGGCAAGGATGTTTAACGCTACTGAGAAATGACATGGGCTTTAACGCTATGGAGATTTGATATGGGCTTTAATGCCATTGATAAATGACATGGGCCTTTAATACTAATGTGAAATGACATAGGCCTTTAAAGTTATTGAGAAATGAGATGGGCCTTTAAAGTTATTGAGAAATGACATGGCCTTTAATGCTATTGAGAAATAACATGATATTTAATGGTAATGAGAAATGATATGGCCTTTGATGCTATGAAGAAATCACAAAAATATTTCTATACAAACAACTGGAATACCCTTTGATTTGCATAATGTCTTTTATTTATATAACCTTTCACTGAGATTGTTTAAGTCTTTTTAATTTTTTCAAGTGAAATACTTTACATTATTTGTCCCACATAGGTATGGCATATGGGACCAACTGCCCGTCAATTGTATATGTACTTAGAACTACAAAAAAAAAATGATCGTTACTGATGACATACATATTACCTGATAACTAATAA